TTTACTAATCATATCAACATCTCTATGAACTAACTCTACATAAGCTCTACAAACGTACTATATCCACTGCAAGTATTTTTTTATGAAGAGCATAGTTTTTGTTGACTTCTACAAATCACTGTACAAATGACTTGATTGAATTGAACTTGATTGAAAGATTGTTTAGAAAGTCACTTTTGTAAAAACTACTGAACTAACTACTTTTCCGTCTTTTACCAATTTAATTAATTTATTATTTATGGAAGAGCAATCTTTCGCTTGATTTATCACTTATATTGCATAAACTAATAATAAAGTATTGTAAGTACATAACATAAACTCCGAGGCTACACACATTATAATGTTTATTACGATCACCGTTCCAAATGGCGACACACAATTTATTAGCGAAGGTTAATGAACAATTCCAACAATGCTAGAAATATTTGACACACTAAGTACAGAAAACAATAAAATACTCTCATTAAATTATACTAGATGATAATGCCATCTTGTTGTGTCTTTGAAGCGGTTAGTTGCCCTCAATTAAGAAAAATAGTATTATTATTCGCCAATAGATGTCGGGAAGAGTTGATTATTGAAAACACGAATAAAACAACATTTTCTGAAAATAAATTGTAGCTAGATCGATTTATCGCCCCCGAAATCCCCTGTATACTAAATTTTATGAAAATCGTTAGAGCCGTTTCCGAGATTCAGCTTATATATATTAATATACAAGAATTGCTCGTTTAAAGGTATAAGATTAGTGACTAAATGATATTAGTGGAAACGTTTTCACAATAATTCATCTTGTGTATGTTCATTTTATTATATCTGATGTTTTAAATATTTTAAAGTTTTCGTAGTCACAATGATTTTAAAAGTCTCTACCAATGGTTTTACTTATATCTGCGACTTTAAAAAAATAAAGAAAACTTTAGTTTATAAACAAACATATTTCTAACGTGAAACAATCATGCTTTCCGGTTGTAAAAATGACTTATGTTTTGAGACTTCAATGTTGTGGTACTAACGGAAACGCTAAAAATACAGCAACTTTTGCTAAAGAGGTTCATTTCAAATATGTTTTAATTAAATGGTGTTCAGACAAAATAATTAGCAAATATGGAATTCAGAAAGTAAATTTTAGTTTAGCGAACGTATACTTCACAAAATGACTTCACATTCTTGCTTTCTTCTGGGTTATCTACCAAACAATTTGTAACTTTTTTCATATGTTTAATTACGTATTTAGTACTAAACGAGAATAATTCGAATGGTAATCATAGAAATATAATGAACTAATTAAAAATCCCGAAAATTAATCTTTACGGTGATTATATAAAAAAAAAACAAAAAAAAATGTAGAGCTGCATTTACACAATAGAATTCAGACTTCATATCTCTGGATGGGTGACATTCACGTTGTGATGCCCATGGGCTCCGATAAATCAGTTTACAGTAGGCGGAACATGAGGCCTTAGGCGTAAATTACAAAGAACGGTTCGTAGTTGCCCATAAAAGAGGCCTAGTGTTTCCGTGACGCGATGGTGCACCCGTGCCGATCCGCCCACACATTCACGTTCACGTTAAGATGCCTATGGGCCCCGATAATCACAACGTAAGATTATTATGGGACCTGATAAGCATTTTACAGCAGGTGATACATGAGCTCTTCGTAAATGACAAAGAAAGGTTCTTAGTTGTCCATAAATGGGCTTAGTGTTTTCGTGACGCGATAGTGCACCCGTGGCGATCGCCCACGGCCGAGCACGCGCTGCTCGACTGAGAACCCGCTGAGTTATCATTGTCGCCGATGCCCACGCCGAGCGCTTACACTAAATAGAAAAATAAAATCACAATTCACCTTCATTTCTATTGACTTCACCTCGGGAAAAGAGGTTGGTAGGTAATTATTCGCGTAATATCTCTACTAACCTATTGACCATGACGAAATCTATTCTAGTTCCTCTTGGTGCAAACATTTTTGACAAAACCTTGCTTTTTTCTAACACATACAACAAAAATAGAATTTAAATACTAATCTAATCTTGTATGTACAATGACATTTAAATATGCAACGAAAATAATTATTGCAGGAAGCTTAATAGACGAATCTAGGACTAGCATACAATGCCAATAAAAATTACAGAAACAACGGCTCACTTTGGTAAATTAAAAACAATCATTCGGTCAAACTGTCTTCCTTTTATTATATGACAAACAAAATTCCGTTACCGTCATTTTGTTTCATACAATTTTCAATGACAACCTTGTGATCATAACTAAAGATAAAAATCAGCTTTATGACTCAACGACTCGATGATGCGGCTCAACTCATCCTACAATCGTAAAAGCTTTTGAAACACGTAAATAAAACGTTAAAAAATCATTTTAAAGTGATGATAGAAAAACAAATAAAAACTTGCCAATAGAAAAATAGAATGCGTGCTGCCAACAGAATGAGTGCGATGGCCCTAATACATACAAGGTTGCGAAATATTTGAACGATATTCAAGGGCGAAGTTCCTAACAAGGAAATTTTAAGCTTCCTTTAGTAAATGAGCAATTGGTTCATTTTCGAGGTCTGAGGTCTAAGTTAGAAGGATAGTCTAAGTTCACAACGCTCCATAAAACCAATATACTTAAGACTCAAGTAATTAAGAGGGAGATTTAGGGAATAAAGGGGGAGGCTATGCTACTAATGCTGCGGTCGGATGTTGAAAAAATGTTTTTTGGACCATAAGTATTATAGATAGTATTATAGTTCTCTGAAGATTTGCTTGAGATGTTTCAATCATCTCCTTTATACCCGTTTATCATTGCGTTTATTTACAGTACGCTACCAATATTCAGTATCACATACCATTCTGGCTTTGGAATGAACTCCAGGAAATAATTGTTCAGATTAGATAGGCAACAAAATTACCAAAATCTGTAAATAGAAGTGAAATGTAAGTAAAGGCAAATAATGAAATACGTATTTTTTCACTGTTGTATATGACAATTGCAGGCAAGATTGTCTGCCTGAAATTTAAGCTAAGTTAAATAGTTTTTTTTAAAGTACCAATTGTCGTCACCTAGTGTACTTAGCTCTAATGCCTGTCTTTATTATATGATATATTTAATGAATGCTGTCTCGAGGCAGAGTTTGTTAAATCTCTAACAATGGTACAAAATGTACACCAGTCGGATTAGGAAGTGGACAATCCTATCCACTATGTGTTTCTTCTGGTAAATGGCCAACACAAAGTGTATACACTTATAAAAAGGTAACTTAGATATTTTCAAACAAGTAATACTGTAACTTAGAATGTGTTATTAATATTAAATTTGTTATATTAGCAAGTGTACATTAATTATTTAGGAGTGTGAAAGAAAACCAGGTCTGCATTTAAATTTCATTTTATTAAAACACCCGCCACAGATTCGTCCACGTTACACTCCAGTACGATTAATGTCTATTATTTACATATTTATAACGTACATATTTACAAATAAAAAGTTGCCCTGTCCTACATATTTCCCTAATGGTTTACTATTTAAATTTTTAATAAATAAAATAAACTGTTGCACGTGTGTTTCCATCAAATTCTACTTGGAGAACAATAGATTTAATACTAAAATTATTCTTTGACTAGAACGATAATTATCACACGTAATCTGATTAAGGAAACATATTGCCATACGAATAATAATCTCGGCATACAATTTATTAAATGTATTTTGTTTATTATACCTACGAAGTATACTTCGGTAACCCGTATACAAAATTTTCGCAATTACTTTTAGATATCGTATCACACAAAATATAAAATTCATTATTAGTATTATTTATCTATAAAATCGATGCAGGCCAATTAAATAAAGGCTTAAAGATTAATAAGCCTTTCTGTTTATTAATTTATTCTATTCATAACAGCTATACCGTCGTGCTTAAGAATTATTAAAAAAAAAACATGTTATAGAAATTAAATATGCAATTTCGAAAAGGGCACATCTCTGAAAATGTAAAATATTCAGGAAATGAAAAAAACTGATTATTGTCTAAAGCAGTGTAAAATTTAAAATATTAACTTTTGAAATATATATTTTAATGTTAATTAGCAATTGAAAATTACTAGAATTATTATAAAATGGGTGTAGGTAAGCCTCAAAACTACATGTATATGAAAAAACGTATTTGACAAAATATGCGACATGTGCCCTTTTCGAAATTGCATATTCAATTAATCCAAAGAGAAAAAGTGAAATTAATTTTATTATTAAAACAAAGCCTGTAAATTACAAATTCATCTACATTGAAAAATTACAATAAATTCTTTAACAAAAATTACCTTTCTAATCGACTATTAGCATATTACACATTTAATGGACACGTTTGGCACTTGTAGTTCAAGTACAAGTCATAACTACCGACCTCGTTCCAACGTCGGCTTATCTTCGCACTTTAAACTAATAATTTTCATATACATATATCTATATCGACGCTTGAAAGGCAAACGTGACTAAGCGACAATGCGTGAACCTTACAGTAGACTAATTTAAAGTTGAAATACCTGAAAACAAAATTTATTTTAACGAATCTAGCTGTAGTAGAATCTAGCTAGTAGCTGTAGGATTGAAATGATTTTACTAGGCCTAGAAATATATTTTTTTTGCGCATCGAATATGGTTATTGCCTATTATTTATGTACAAAGCAGTTATTGTCGCTAAGTCACGTTTGCCTTTCAAGCGTCCATATATTTTTATTGCCCTTGTAGGCAGACGAGCATACTGATGGTAAGTGGTTACCGTCGCCCATGGACTTCAGCAATGCCAGGAGCAGAGCCAAGCCGCTGCCTACCGTTAAGTACTCTCCACAAGCCTCGTTTGAACAAGGACATGTCATAGCGCTCGGGAAACACCGTGGAGGGGAGCTCATTTCAAAGCCGGATGGTACGGATGGAATGTTCAGTTTAAGACTTCAATGACATCCCATTCATATTTTCTGGCATAGAGTCTAGCTTCGTGGAAAATATGATAAAATTCAAATCCGTGTTCGGATACTATACGATCCACTTAAAATAAACCAAAAATTAATTTAATTCATGTGATGACTATGTATGTTTTATAAATATATTATATTTGGCTAATAACATTTCCGCAGCTCTGTTCGGAATAAGAAGCAACGCTCCAGTGCGTGGTAACACATTGCTTTTCTAGTAAGAATACTGACTAGATGAAAGATTTCCATTAGAAAAGGTGATTGTTCGTCTTAGCCAGGGTACCGAGATGATCAGAGAGTAAATAGTTGTGGGGCGCCAGGAGCGGGAAGCCTGAGGGTTGTCGCAGGAGACCGCATCCTCCAGTCCATTTTCCGCCGGTACCACTCACCGGAGGCAGTTCATTCACCCCACCAACGCCGTTTAATTCTTCGCATAATTTGTTTGCTATAAAATAAAAATAATATGTTTTATTATATATATATGTCGTGGATAACGACTTTTAGTTGTCGTGGATAACGACTTTTAGTAATATTAAGACGGTGGTTTTGATTATTATTTTAAATGATGAGATGTTGTTTTGATAAATATCACAAAATGAAGGGTAGACTACGTAACGCCACAGTATAAAATGGCGGTACGTGGACAGAGTCGTGGCATTCCGTGTCAGACAGTCATTCCGTCCGTCTCAGTCAGTCAGTCGGTCTGTCGGTATATGCAACGAAACTGTCGGTTTATCCTGTCATTGTGAAAGTTGTGTGTGTTGAGTTTCAATAATT